TAAATGCTGTGCATATCAACTTCACTATAAACTAATTCACGCGCTAGTTATTGGTGCTCTACCATCGTCGTCGGGCGTTCAGTGGACATCATCGTTCGCGAGGGTCAAACTGTCCCGTCACTGGAGAGTGATCTTTCGTCAGAAATGTCAGGGACCGCAAGCAGTGGTTCCGGTTTGCTGTTGCTAATACCGCCTGTTACCTTTTCCCTACGTTATCTCTTCTGTAAACACATTTCACAGTATCTCTTACTCCCTGCGATCGTCGAAAATCCGCAATTGCGTAAAACCCGAGGTCTTAATCTGCAATCGCAAAACGAGGGAAATCATTGCCATGGAGAAAATTCAAGCGAATTCCCTCGGTCTTTGCAAGATTCTGCTCACTAGTTGGTTCCTATAAGCGCTCCAATCAGTGCAACGTGTTAGATTCAAGCATTGAGTACTGCCCCTTTCGTCGTGCGAGACTGCAAATTTCCTATTGGTTCTTTCTGCGTTTTTTCCAGGCCGCCAACAACCTGGCTGTTTGCTCCCTTTACTTGGGTCAATTGGAGGAGGCAATCGGCGTGCTGGAATCCCTCACTACTCCTACGGATCCCGCCACTGGTCGACCCATCCTACATGATGTCATTGTAGCTAATCTGGCTGTGCTGTATGAGGTCGAGTCAGACGGTTCGGCAGCCAGGAAGTTGCGTCTCCTCGAACGCCTTGCCGCTGCGCCGGGCGAGACTGTCTCGGTGTCGGCAATTAAACTCGGATGAGCATGTGAACCGCCCTTCTCCCACACTGACTTAATCTCCCCTCTTCCCTTCTTTTCTGACCTATTTGCCCCTTCTTTCATCTACTTCCAGCCGCAAACTCTTGTTTGCCTGCTTGACCCTCAAACGGACGCCAGTATCAGTCACTTTTATTCTCTTTCTTTTTATGATACTATTGCCTCTGTGTGTTTGTTAATATCTGTTCTCATGAAAACCGATTGCTTTCCCCTTCTGGCTGGTTAATCAACTTTAAAACGGTAGTTCTTCTTAGGTTATTTTTGGATTGGCATAAAAAAAGTACTGTTATAGCGCCTACCACCCTCTCACGTCCACGCCGCGCGACAAGTCACGTGATAACAATCCCAGGGCTGCTTCTGAGACAGCCAATCACGGACGCCCACAAACTGCTATCCA